CTATTCTACTTCTTCGTTGGCTCTAAACTTGGGCAGGCGAAGAGAGGTGCTATTTATTAGCCCCCACGCACTGCAACTCATTCAAATTATCTTCAACTTTTTTATTTCACTGTCTACATCAGTGCTGTCCAGTAAAGCCATCATGTAAGCCTTACACACGAAGCTATAAAGTTTCTGTAGTCACACTAAAAAAAAAAAAAAAAAGGTGAAATTGATTTTAACAATACATTTAATTTCATGTCATCTGTCCAAAATGTTATCATTTCAACATGTGATCAATTAAAATTATTAATTGAATATTACATATATATTATTAATTGAATATTATATATATATATATTTTTTTACACTATGCCTTTGAAATCCAGTGTGTATGGTGCACATATAGCACATCTTAATTTGGGACTTGCCACATTTCAAGTACCAAGTAGCCACATGCCCAGTGGCTACCATATTGAACAGTACTGGTCTACATGATCTGGCCTATCAGAGAAAGGAAGGCTAGTTTTCCACTGTGATTTTGTCTCAGTGAATTATAACAATGAATGAAGGCTATCACTCCCTTCCTCCCCCCTCCTACAAACACACATCTTTTTCATTTTCTCAAGAGACCAAGAAAGGGTTCAACTTGGTTTCTGATATACTTTCCCCCAGACAGCTATTTCTTTGAGTGTAACGTGTGCATTGACTAGAACCCACGGCCATTTGGTTTGCTTTTAGTTAAAAGTTAGATTTTAGGGGCACCTGGGTGGCTCAATCAGTTGAGCGTCTGACTTCGGCTTCAGTCATGATGTCCGTGTGTTCGAGCCCCGCGTCAGGCTCTGTGCTGACAGCTCAGAGTCTGGAGCCTGCTTTGAATTCTGTGTCTCCCTCTCTCTGCCCCTCTCCCACTTGTGTTCTGCTCGGTCTCCCTCTTTCAAAAACAAATAAACATTAAAAAAATTTTTTTAACAAAATAAAAGTTAGATTTTAGACCCACAAGACTATGATTTATAGATGACAATATTTTGCATTTTATCACAAATTCAAAGGCTGCCTAAAGTTTATAGTTGAAGGTGGACCTGGGGGAGCTGGGGTGACACATGAAGGCCCCTTGAGGCCACCCTAGGTAGTCAGGTGCTGATGGGTCTGGATAAGTGAGGTTTCTGAAACCTAATGGGAGCCCCTCCCCCTTCCCCAGCTGACTTGGGCTTTAGTTGATGACTGAGATTCCTAATTTCCTTCTAGTATGGGGGAGGGGGCAGGTCATCCGCAGGACCGCTGACCACATGTTTGCTGCTGTCACAGACCTCAGCGTGGGGAGGACAAATTCAGCGGCCACTTTGGAAGGCCCAACCCTTTGGAAAAGCCTGGAACTTGTGTTAGATTGTGGCATCAGGGGCCACCCGAGAGCTGCTTCTCCACACTCATGGGAGCACGGCAACGTGGGCGACTTCTCGCTTCCTGAAAGAGAGATTATGTCTCGGAACTGCTAGGTCTCTCGGAACCCCTGACTGGCCGCAGTGGAGTCAGGAGTGGGGCGCCCACGAGAACCCTGCTCCAGCCGGAAGAGCGAGGCCAGTGGCAGGATGGGGCTGCCCTGAGGAGCGTGGACGGCTGAAGGGCACCTCGTGGTGAGGAGTGCAAAGCCTTAACTCGCGGGGAGACACAACGAGGTGAAGGCACCCGTTCTCCAGGATTCCAGGTGGTGTAAGAGATCGGGCCTCAGAGAAGCAGACGGTGATGCGAAGGGAGGCAGCTCAGGGTAGAAGGCACTGGAGGGTGGGAGAGGGAAGGGCTGCTGGGCTCCGCGTCAGGGAGTGGGGTGCAGAGACAGGGGCAGCGAAGAGGCTGTCTGGGAGCCCGTGCCCTCTGGAAGGAGAGGCTGAGGCTGGGGGTTGGTGGGGAGGGAAGGATGCCCTCTCCACCCCCCACCTCCCATCCCCCAGTGCTGGCTCAAGAGCCTCCATAAGGACTGGAATTTGTCAAGGACATTCTCCGAGACCACAAATCCACACCCAAATGGAGCCCCGGTTTCTATCCAGGTTACACGTATATCAGGGCTGAGGCTCCAAAACCCAGAAATGGAGCCAGGAGGCAGATGAGTGTCAGAGGTGGGTCTCCGATCTCCATGCTAATCCACTCCTTTAGGTTTTCTTCCAGACATTCCACCCAGGCTTAGTGACTACCTATTCTGCACCTGGTATTATTATTGATTATTGATATATACTATTGATAGCCTTTACTTGGAACTTTAAGGATGCTCATACACTAAGCCAAAACTATTAAATGTGGAGAAAGCTGTTTACCTACTGATTGATGATGCACAATGAACAATCCTTGTGGAATCTCTAGAAGTAAGCAAGAGAGTTTTATTCGAGCCCAAGTTAGGACAGCTGCCGGGGAAATACGCTCTTCACGGGGAAGAACCGACAGTTCTTACACTCCCTTACATCTTGTAAAAACCTCAAAAGATTACAGATTTGCATATAGGCGGGAATCACAAGTTTTATCAGAAAGGAATGCAGGGAGGCGCGGGGGGAAGCTCAGTCAGTGAAGCGTCTGACTCTTGATTTCAGCTCAGGTCACTGTCTCACAGTTCGTGAGTTTGAGCCCCGAATCGGGCTCTGCACTGCCAGCACAGAGCCTACTTGCGATTCTGTCTCCCTCTCTCTCTGTCCCTGCCTCATTCACTATCTCTCTCTGAAAAATAAAAATAAACTTCTAAAAACAAAACAAAACAAAGGCATGCCGAGGGGGCGCCTGAGGGGCTCAGTCAGTTGAGTCTCCAGGTTTCCGCTGAGGTCATGATCCCAGGGTTGTGGATGGAGTCCCAAGTGTGCTCTGTGCTGAGCACGGACCCGGCTTAAGATTCTCCCTTGCCCTCTGCCCTTCCCCTCTCCCCCTACTTGTACCCTCAGTCTAAAATAAAAGAAAATAAAAAGAAAATTTAAAAAAAGAGAGAGGAACGCAAGGGTAGGAGCACTGACTGATATCTCCAGGATGCGGTGGTTTTCCCTCAGACGCTCATTCACAAAGCAGGTGTGCAACCCACGGGGGTAGGGCCATAAACCAGGCTTCGGTCTGGAGGCAGCTTATATAAGGTCATGTTGACTTAGAAGGAAATCTAAAATGGCTTCCCTGCATGTCAGGCGTGTAGAGAGCGTTTCTGCCAGCGTTATGCTCACGAAGAACTTAAAACAAGGAAATGAGAGCAGCACAAGCAGGTAGCCCAGGGGCCCACGGATGGCTGGCAACCGTTCAGCCGCCTCCATGGTGAAAGGTGTACAAAACCAGATCTGCCAGCTGTGGTCTGAAACGGCGATAGTGGCCTTTTTCCCTCCACTCTTTTTTTTTTTTTTTTTTTAATGTTTATTTACTTGTGAGAGAGACAGACTGTGAGCGGGGGAGGGGCAAAGAGAGAGAAGAAGACAGAGAATCTGAAGCAGGCTGCAGGCTCTGAGCTGTCAGCGCAGAGCCCGTCATGGGGCTCGAACCCACGGACTGTGAGATCATGATCTGAGCTGAAGTCGGATGCTTAACTGACTGGGCCACCCAGGCGCCCCTCCCTTCTACTCTTTAAGGCTTTCCCCAATTTTCCATGATTTGTTTCTCTACTGTGCCGGGGGATGGGGACAATCTCCTCCTTTCCCTTCAAATGGGCCCTCTTTTTTGGGGGGTACCCCCATTCAGGGACTCGATTTTGGGGAAAAAAATCAATAATAATGCAACAGGTTTTTGGCAATAGATATTCATTTTACCACTACGTATAATTTTTTAAATTGCAGTTAATCTAAATGGCCCTGATGGAGGACAGCTCACGGACCACTTGCTGCTTTCCCTCTTGTGACCTTTTCTCCATTTACTCCCCAGAAGCTCCCAGTGCTCTCGCAGCAACAAGCAACAACGAGCAGCAACAAGCAGCTCAGGCAAAGACACGTGACCCGGTCCTGACCAATCAGAGTGGTCCTTGCACCTTAGCTCCGCCCCTTTTTCCTTGGGTGCACCCGGCTGGAAGGAAAGGGGTGCACAGGAGGTGTGGAGAGGGGTGTGGGGGGCATGCGGTGGAGGAGGGGTGCTTGGGGGGGCCCCTCTTCCCTGAACCTGGTGGAACCCTGGCTGAGAAATGGAAACACAAATGCCTGATGACATCATTTTTACCCTCTGGATCCAGACACCCCTGAAGTCCACTGTACCCCCTAAGCTTTTTAAGTACATGAGTCAATAAACTCCCTTTTTGTGTGTAGGCCAGTTTGCATTAGTTTTGGCCACTTAAAACAGGCAGTGATGACTAACATACGTATAATCCAGAGAATATTTTGCAACATAAAAAAGTCTATAAAAACCAAGTGAAATATAGAATGGCAGGAAAATATTGCTAAGCGAAAACAGCAACATAGAAAGTTCTAGATCTGTAGGCAAATGAAAGAATTGAGAATGAGAGAAAGACAACTCAGTGGGTTGCAGCAAAAAAAATCTATTATGTAACGATAGCCTGGAGGGTGGGCCCCCCTCCCCACATCCCCCACACCCCGGCAGGTGGTCATTACCACCCCACAGTAACTCCTAAATGTAACTCTGCACGTTAACACCCAAAGCAAGTAACCACGGGAAGGAAATTCTACGCCCCACTGCCGATAGTGGTCATCTTTGGTTGACACATTGCTTCCAACCCCTAGTTTTTACTTTCCTGAATTTTAAAAAAAACTGGACTTCATGTCCATGCACTGCTTTCAAAACCGCAGCTAAAACATAAAAGAGAAGAAACTACGTTGACGACAGGTGAGCGGGGAAGCCTGGAGAGGCCCTAAGTTGCTCAGAGAACTTGGGGAGGAAAGGAGGACGCCTGGGCCTCTCTCCTTCCTGATGGAATCTGGTCCAGTAGGTTCCAGTGACATCCCTGTGTTACCCAGCATTACTGCGGGGGGGGGGGGGGAGGAAGAGAGCAGAGCGAGGCAACCGGAAAGGTGAGCACAAGGTGCCCTTCACCTAAGGGACCCTCCTTGTCTTACGGTCTGAGCTTAGCAGAGAGCCTGCGTGCAAGTGAGTGAATGGGGGGCAGACAAAGCAGTGGCGATGAGGTGGCCCCCAGAGACGAATGGGGGACAATGAAGAAGCCAGGTGGCAAAGGAGAGGCAAGACCTCACAACCCTTACTAGCGGACAGCGCCCCCAGGACGCAGGCACACCTCCCGGCTGCTCAGTCTCCAGGCATCACTTCTGCCAACCCAGCCCGCCTCCACCCTGTCCCGTTTAATTCTGCTCAGAGGCCCCTGGGCTCAGCCTGCCCTGGGGTGCTGCTTCCCCACGCCTGGCTGGGGGCTGGGGCAGAGACCCCGCGGCTCCGCCTGAAGATGAGCTCCTGGACCTTTCCTCTTGCAAGAGTTTCTGTAAAGAAACAAACAGAGCAGTCACAGGGGAGCCACAGAGAACTCCAGGGCGGCCTGGAGGGCAGCTCCGGGTGCTTCTGCACTCAGGCTTCCTGGCTTTGTATCCCCACTCTGCCACCGCCTAGCGGAGCACTTGGCGAGTCCCAGAAGCTCCCCGTCTCAGCCGGCTGGGGCTGCCCTAGCGGATTCCCACAGGCGGGGCGCCTTGAATAATGGGAATCTATTTTCTCCTAGTTCTGGAGGCTCCAGCCCATTAGGTTTCTGCCCATTGAGATCAGTGGGGACTCCGGCCCATTGAGATCCCTCTCTGGGCTTGCTGATGGCCATCTCCTCGCCATGGGCTCCCGCAGCCTTTCCTCTGTGCAGGTGCAGGGAGAGAGAGAGAGAGAGAGAGAGCTCTTGTGTTCCCTCCTCTGCTTAGAAGGACACAGTCTCATAGTATCACCCCTTCCTGTGGCCTGACTCAGCCCCAGTCACTTCCCAAAGGCCCCACCTCCACCTCATCACATCGGGGCTTCAACCTATGAATGTTCTGGGGACACGTCAGTCCGCAACTCCCCTTGTGGCTCAGTGCCCTCTTCTGTACAACCGGGAAGGCCCTCTTAGAGCACTGAGCGAGAATAGAAGGCAGAAGGCATGCCCAGGTCTGTCCAGGACAGGCGCCATTTTCATCGAGATGCACCTGATGTCATTTGGACCTCAAGGGCCACCATCTGCCCCACATCCTCAGGAGCATCCAAGTGAACTTCACGCACACATACACGCCCACATACATGCACACTGGCTCCTTTAACACCCTTCCCGTAGACCTTGGTGCCCATAAGCCCCAGTTAAAGCGTCCCCCCTCCCTCCAGCCCTGCCAAAGAGGAAGATGTCAGCCTCACCCTCCGCTGCAGGCTCCTGTATAGCTGGGTGAGTTCTGTCAGCGTCCTTTCCAGCTCCCAAGTCCGGGCCCTCAGCTCCTCCGCAGACTTTGTCGTTGATCCTTCCTTCAGTTGCTTCCAGTCCTTCAGGAGGGCGGTCAGGTCCTGGCTGAGGGATAAGCCCACCATCGCACTCCCCAGCAAGCGGACATTTGTTGGCATCAGCAGCGTTGTGCCTTTGAAGGCCCTTTGCACCTGCCTGCTCCTCCGGGCTGAGACTTGGCCAGTGGTCAGGAGACGCTTGGCAGCAGTGGCCAGACGCGGGTGGGCTCTGGCTATCCGAAAGGCACGGATGTTCTTCTTAATCTCCTCCATGGCACTTCCACAATCATAGGCCATCTTTCCAACAGCCACGAGGTAAGATGCCTTCCGTCGCCCAGGCTCCCAGGCCTCGTGGCCATGGCTGGGCACTAAGCTGCTGGCCTGAGCTCGGGCTTCGTGATGCCAAAAGTGTCCCAAAATGTGGGCCAAGATGCTGGTGACCCCAGCAGCTGTCCCCAAACCTCTACCAGCAGCGGAGAACATCAGACTTCCTCCTGCCGTGGCTGGAGCGAGGACCAGACCCAGGATGCTCATGGCTCCAGAGACCACTGCCATGGAGCTGGCCGCCATGTTGGCCTTGGCGAGCGTTTGGTGGGTTGTGTCAATGTGGTCTGCAAGGGCGTGGAGCTTTCTGATGCCCGCTTCTAGCTCCCCTTTCATGACCGCGAACTCTTCCAAAAATGCTATCTCTTCAGCCGATAGATCCTTCTCTTCTTGCTGCATGCCGTCACACGGAAGAATGTCACCCTGGTCCCTGTGGGTGAGTGGAATGAAGATTTCACTTCAGCCTCCCTGGTGGCAAAGTCACATTCTCAGGCCCATTGTGGTTTCTGGACGCTCTCGCCATTCCTGACCCTGAGTCCTTCCTGCATCTCCCTGACACCTCCGTTACCTCTGACCCAGCCGAGGAGAGCCCCAGAATATTGTCGGGAGCTGCTGCTTCCGTGAAGAGAAGAAATACATAAGAGGGGCTTCTGGAGGGAAGATGGAAGAAACACAGCCTTGGCTAAAGAGATGGAGAAGGTAGATGGGTCCTGAGGGGCATTTTCAGCCTTGTTCAGAGACACGGTCACCCAGGAGGGGGCAGGGGGGATGGTAAGATCTGAGTGAAGATAAGCAACGTGCGTCTAATGGAAGGACAGGTGTGGGGAAAGCAGGAGAAAGAGGAGACCAGGTCGAGAGCCCCGTAGGTGGGGACGAGCCAGAGGAAGGAGGCGCCATATTGTACAATGCAGCCTACACATCCCTGACCTTGAGTCTGGCTACTGTGGTGACCTTTGCTTCCATCAGGAGCTATACGCCAAGAGGGCTGAGGTGGGATATCACCAGTGTTCCGGAGGTTCTCCTCGGCACGTGGCCAGCTTCACTTGGCCACTCAAACAGGGATTGGTCCTCCGTGGAAGATGTCAGGGACCAAGGGGCCCAGGCCTCTTCTCTCCAGTATCTCAAGGTACAAAGTATCAAGGGATCTTGGTCACCCCAGCGGAGTCTGACTTTTATGGGAGAGCAGTATCAGGGAAGAGCAAACCTACTCCAAGAGCCATTGCTCCGCCAGGGCGAGCTTAGGCGGCCTGGTGAGGACACAGATTCCCTGGCCCAGAGGAGAGAATCAGAAGTGGACAGGACCCAAGCTGCCTCCTTTACTTTTCAGCAGAGGGAACAGAAGCCCAGAGAGGGATGGGAGACTCCCCCTAAGGAACATGTGAGGTGGAGACAGAGCTTCGAGAACCTTCTGTTCTGCTGGCTGCTTCTTTCTCATCTGTCAGCTGATGTCAGGAATTCCTTACTGAGGTATATATGCAAATACCTTTGGGTCTCTCTCTCTCTCTCTTCACACACACACACACACACACACACACACACACACACACACACAAACAAATTTCTTAATGGGAAAGGTTGAAAACCAAATATACATCCCAAGGAAACCCCTTAGCATTAATGACTAGCAAATTCTGGCTCAATTACCAGTTAATCAGCAGCTGCAAGTCAGGTCACAGAGCAGGGTTTGGGGGGCTTGCCCCAAAGGGGAGGGATGAAGGCAAGAAGCCAAATGCTGCCAAGGACCCCTAAACTCCGTAGATCCCACAACTCAGCCCTGCCTGCTCTCTGTTTCCTCAAGTGGATATGGACAAAGAAGAGAAAGGGTGAGCAGATGCATGGGTTGACACCCTGCTCTGCGCTAACTACAGAGTCAGAGGCGGTGGTGCCCACTGATGGGTGCAGAGTCGCGGTCCCACCGAAGGAGGCACCACGCCGTCTAGATGCCCTAACCCACTTAGCGAACATTTGCTGATTGTCCGCCTTGTGATGCAAGCTGCTGGGGGCTCCATCCACTGATGAACGGATAATCAGGACTTAATTTATCAATGCGGGGACATGAAGGGGGTTTTTTGGGTGACATGTGAGCCTTCACGTCCCTCCCCTCTGCAAGGGGGGCAGTTTCTGCCCTCTAAGGCCTCTGCCCAGTGTCAGGCATCAGGCTGGATCTCGCCTTCTCTGCAAAATATTTAGTATAGTCCACAGAAGTTTTTTCTCCTTGTCGCATATCAGGAGGATACCTAGAACGTTCCAGCAGAAGCAGCCTTCCCCAGGGAGAAAGCTCTCAGTTACCTCTGCAAACCTACAGCAGCCTCAAAGCCTTCCTCTTTCTCTTCCTGGTCATCCATCAGCTCCCAGGACTCCAAAGCTGTGCTCGCTCTGCCCGTGGGAGACTGAGAGGTGTCCTTGCCAGGCAGCCAGCCTTCTGCCAGGGCACATGGAAAGCAAGGTTACTGCTGGTGCCCTGATCCTTGGGAAATTCTAGGTTTACAGAGGGATTTTATGATTATGCAATCAAATAATGAAAGACTCACAATGTACTAAATATTTGCAAACTATTGTTTGTACATTTCATATCAAGGGGCAGCTTATATACAGTAAGCAGACAAGGTGTTCACCTGTATACACACCCAAGTAGTCACCACCCAGATCAAGATATAGGACAGTGGTTTCTGACTTCTCTAACCATCGATCGATTTGCCTATTCTTGAACTTCACATAAATGGAGTAATTTGTTTGGCTTCCTTCACTCAATACGATGTGTATGAAATTCGCTCATGTTGTGGGTATCAGTGGTTTTAAAAATTATTGCTATGGGGTGCCTGGGTTGCTTAGTCAGCTAAGCGTCCTGCTTTGGCTCAGGTCATGATCTCATGGTTCGTGGGTTCGAGCCCCATGTGGGGCTCTGTGCTGACAGCTAGCTCAGAGTCTGGAGCCTACTTCAGATTCTGTGTCTCCCTCTCTCTCTGACCCTCCACTGCTCATGCTGTCTCTCTCTCAGAAATAAATAAAACATTTTAAAATTTTTTAAAAATTCTTTTAAATGATTGCTATGAAGTATTTCATTATATAAATAGACTGCAATTTATTGACCTATTCCTCCATCAATTGGTATGTTTGGACTGTTTCCAGTCATTGGCTGGAATTGATTATAATGATGAAAAGATCACTTCACAAGACAAGAGAACAATTTATAAGGCATTTTTAAAAAAATTTTTATACATTTATTCATTTTTGAGAGACAGAGAGAGACAGAGTGTGAGTGAGGAGGGACAGAGAAAGAGGGAGACACAGAACCGAAGCAGGCTCCAGGCTCTGAGCTGTCAGCACAGAACCCTATGCGGGGTGGGAACTCATGAACTATGAGATCATGACCTGAGCTGAAGACGGACGCTTAACCAACTGAGCCACCCGGGTGCCCCTATAAGGCCTTTTTGTACAAATTAGGTTCCAGCGGACATATTGATGTTATATTAGTATTATGAGAACTGTAAAAGGTCCCACCTGAGCATATAGGTGGGATCTAAAATCTGTCCCAGAATCGACTTGCCCAGGTGTGAGCCCTGGGGGCCAAAGATGGGGGAAGGAGCTGTGTCTATCTGGAGAAAGAAGCCCTTTCCTTGCTTGATCGCTTGACTGATCAATTGCACAGAGTTGCTCTCCATTGATAGAGCCAGGCATCCTCAGAGCTCTATCTATACTTGTGAAGGGGGCGGGCTTTGTCCAACAAGCCCCAGGACACCATATGGGCTAGTGGTGACCCTCTTCTACCTTCTATGTTAAAATGATCATTCAGGCTGGAAAACAGACTCCAGATTTGCAAAAGAGGAAGCAAGGAGACCAGATAGAAGCTGTTGCAATAGTCAGAGTGAGAGGAGACAGCTGCAGGACCAGGTTGGCAGAAGTGACGGAAAAGATTGGATGTGTAAGAAGCCACAGGGTTCATCAGGGGATGTGGGATGTGGGAGAACCGGAGTCAAGGATGACTTCAGGGTGAGTCAGGTCTGAGGCCTTGAAGGACTGTTACAGTGAAGCTTTCAGACTTCAGTTTGGGGCAGGGGTTAAGTTTGAGGTGCCTGGGTGGTTCAATATTGGCAAATCAATCAACGTGATACATCACATCAGCAAATGAAAAGATAAAAACCATATGATCCTGTTGATAGATGCAGAAAAAGCATTGACAAGATACAGCATCCCTTCTTAATAAAGACCCTCGAGAAAGTCAGGATAGAAGGAACTTACTTAAACATCATAGAAGCCATCTATGAGAAGCCCTCAGCTAACATCATCCTCAACGGGGAAAAACTGAGAGCTTTCCCCCTGAGATCAGGAACACGACAGGGATGTCCACTCTCACCACTGTTGTTTAACATAGCGCTGGAAGTCCTAGCATCAGCCATCAGACAACAAAAGGAAATAAAAGGCATCAGAATTGGCAAAAAAGTCAAACTCTCACTTTTCACAGATGACATGATACTCTACATAGAAAACCTGACAGACTCCACCAGAAGCCTGCTAGAACTGATCCATGAATTCAGGAAAGTTGCAGGATACAAAATCAACGTACAGAAATCGTTTGCATTTTTATACACCAACAATGAAGCAACAGAAAGAGAAATCAAGAAACTGATCCCAGTCACAATTGCACAAAAAAACATAAAATACCTAGGAATAAACCTAACCAAAGATATGAGATCTGTATGATGAAAACTATAGAAAACTCATGAAGGAAATTGAAGAAGACACAAAGAAATGGAAATACATTCCATGCTCATGGATTGGAAGAATAAATATAGTTAAAATGTCATTACTACCCAAAACAATCTACACATTCAGTGCAATCCCAATCAAAATTGCACCAGCATTCTTCTCAAAACTAGAACAAACTATCCTAAAATTTGTATGGAACCACAAAAGACCCCGAATAGCCAAAGTAATATTGAAGAAGAAAACCAAAACAGGAGGCATCACCATCCTAGACTTTAGCCTGTACTACAAAGCTGTCATCATCAAGACAGTATGGTACTGGCACAAAATGGACCAGTGGAATAGAATAGAGAACTCAGATTTGGATCCAAAAACGTACAGCCAACTAATCTTTGACAAAGCAGGAAAAAGTATCCAATGGAAAAGAGACAGCCTCTTTAACAGATGGTGTTGGGAGAACTGGACAGCAACATGCAGAAGAATGAAACTAGATCATTTTCTCACACCATGCACAAAAATAGACTCAAAATGGATAAGGGACCTGAATGCGAGACAGGAAACCATCAAAACCCTAGAAGAGAAAGCAGGAAAAAATCTCCTTGACCTCCACTGCAGCAATTTCTTACTTGACACGTACCCAAAGGCAAGAGAATCAAGAGCAAACATGAACTATTGGGACCTCACCAAGATTAAAAGCTTCTGCACAGCAAAGGAAACAATCCATAAAACTAATAGGCAACCAACGGAATGGGAAAAGATAGTTGCAAATGACATATTAGATAAAGGGCTAGTATCCAAAATCTATAAGGAACTCACCAAACTCCACACCTGAAAAACAAACAATCCAGTGAAGAAATGGGCAGAAGACATGAACAGACACTTCTCCAAAGAGGACATCCAGATGGCCAACAGACACATGAAACGATGCTCAGCATCCCTCCTCATCAGGGAAATACAAATCAAAACCACACTGAGATACCACCTCAAGCCAGTCAGAGTGGCTAAAATGAGCAAATCAGAGAACTCTAGATGCTGGCGAGGATGTGGAGAAACGGGCACCCTCCTACACTGTTGGTGAGAATGTAAACTGGTACAGCCCCTCTGAAAAACAGTGTGGAGGTTCCTCAGGAAACTAACAATAGAACTCCCCTATGACTGGCGGGGTATTCCGGGGCTTGGTCTGGGACCCCCCTTGGCCTCTGCCAGTACTGTCTCCCTAAGTCTCTTATGTCATTTCATGGCCTTAAGCACTTTCTACACAGAGGAGAGAAGCAGGAAGCAGGAAGAAGAGGAGAAAGAGCAGTGGGTGAAGTCCAAGGAGAACAAGGAATCTGGCATTTTGGAAGCCACATCTTTGTGTGCTCTTGTGTTTCCCAATTTCTGGGTCATTCCGCTTTTCATCTTTCTCTTCCAAAGCCATCCCTAGACGCTGCTTTCCCCTCTAAGGAAAACGGCTGGGAGGGAGAAAACTTACCTTGGCAGATTTGAGGGGCCTCTGTTGGTGTGAAGTTCAAAAGGGTGTCTCTGCTCTTCTCCATATTCAGAAGGGCAGGGTGTCTGGCTGGGAAGAGACATTGTTTTAATCTTCCAGAGGAGGAAACTGACCTATAGTTGGTACAGGAAAGTGGATTGGAAGTCCCCCTCTGTCACTTCCCAGTTCTGTAATTTCAAGAAAATTAAGTCACTGCTCTGTTTCCTCTTCCTTATCTGTGAAATAGCAAGGACAATGCCTACCCCCAATAAATACCGAGGAACAGTAATTTTTATAATTACAATGATGTATTTTTCATAATTATAAACAGGATAGAAATTCTCTCTCAAAATGAGAATACCCTTATATTGGTTTAGAAGGCAAAACCTATGGGGCCCCTGGGTGACTCAATCGGTTAAGCGTCTGACTTGGGCTCAAGTCATGATCTTGCGGTTTGTGGGTTCAAGCCCCACATCAGGCTCTGTGCTGATGGTTTGGGGCTGGAGCCTGCTTCAGATTTTGTGTCTCCCCCTCTCTCTGCCCCTCCCATGCTCATGCTCTGTCTTTCTCTATCTCTCAATAATAAATAAACATTAAATTTTTTTTTTAAAGAAAGAAAGCAAAACCCAACTATATGCACTCTTTACAAGAGATCTATCTGAAGCATAGAGACCCAGAAAAATTAAAACCAGAAGGATGGACAGTCAGAGCAGGCCAGTAGGTGGCTGTGTCTATAAACGGTAGCAAAAAGAATCTGTGCAATGGGTGTGTTCTGTATCTTAATTGTGGTGCTGACCATACAAATCCACACATGTGGAAAAAATTGAATAGAGTCAAATACATGCACATGCTCACACACATGTGTGCACATGCAAATGAGAGGGAGTAAAGCGGGGAAATTCTGAATAAGTTGAGTGGTTTGTATCAATGTCAACTTCCAGGCACAGTTTCGCAGAAGGTTACAGGGTGGAATCTGAGTAAAGCGGGCACACAGGATCTCCCTGTTTCTTACAGCTGCAGGTGAAACTACCATCATCTCAAGAGTAAAACTTAAACATGCCATAGCATACAACTCTTGAAGTGACCCAAATCCAGACACTCACAGCATCAAGCGCTGGTGAGGATGAGGAGTAACAAGGACCCTTGCTAATTGCCCACAGGAATGCAAAG